CAAAAAAAAAAAAAAAAACCTTCTGTCGGCCACTTAAGTGCATCGGCCCACCGGAAAAATGCCCGGTATGCCCGATTACCAATCCAGCCTGATCCAGGGTAAACAGTCCAAGGTCAAAAGATAAGGCAAGGCAAGGCAAGGCAAGACAACAAGGAACTAAGAAACACGGAAAACACAAAGACGTTACAGGCTATCAGTACTGAGCAATGTGAGTGAGTGTGTGTGCATCTTTTATAGTCCTCTTGATTGGTAACAGGTGGAGTCTGATAATGAGTTCCCAGGCAGGGGTTATGGGAAATGTAGTCCAGGGTAGAGTGGCAAGAGTCAGGGGTTAGTGACAAGGGCATGGGATAGAGTGTCCTCTAGTGGAGCTCATGGGTACTCCAGCTAGCGATCGTGACTTCCAGACGCTCATTAACAGGAACAGACCAGATTCCAGGAGGGAGGTGGAGCGGAGGTAGAACAGGGGGAGGGATGGAGGGCCAGGTCCATGAGGAAATGGAGGAACAGGGGACTGAGGCAGAGCCGGTTGAGCAGGGTACCAAGGCGGAGCAGGGTGCCAAGGTGGAGCCGGCGGAGCAGGGTGCCAGGGCAGTGCCAGCAGAGCAGGGTGCCAGGGCGGAGCAGGGAGCCAGGATGGAGCAGGCAGAGCTGAAGACTATCAGGGCAGAGCTAATGACCACCAGAGCGGAGCAGGCGGAGCTGAAGACCACCGCAGCAGAGCAGACGGGACCGAAGATCCCCACGGCGGAGCTGACGACCACCACAGCAGAGCAGACTGGGTCGAAGACCCCCACGGCAGAGCAGATGATCACCACAGCTGAGCAGACGGGACTGAAGGTACCCACGGCGGAGCATATGACCATCACAGCTGAGCAGACGGGACTGAAGATCCCCACGGCGGAGCAAATGACCACCACAGCAAAGCAGATGGGCCTGAAGATCCCCACGGTGGAGCAGATGGAACGGAGTCAGAGAACAGTCAGAGAGTTCATAAAACGGCCTTCTTGACCATCACAGGACAGACAGAGTTCAGAATCGACCTCCTTGGTCGATGCAGGACAAACACAGAGTCCAGGACTAGGGCTGGCTCGATACCACTTTTTCAGAACCGATCCCGATCTGATACCAGAAATTCTGAGTATCGGACAATACCGATACCGACCTGATACCAGCACAGTTTTTTTTTTCTATACCTCAGTGGGTGTTGACCTCATCATCACTCTTTTGTGTATTACACACAATCTACTAAATATAGACAACTTCATTATAAAGAAAAATAACAAATAAAAAAATATATAATCATAATCTATGAGAAAAATACTATTATAAACTAGGTTAGTGGATCTTCATTGTAAAGAAAAACAACAAGTGAATAAACATATAATCATAATCTATGACAAAAATACAACTATAAACTAGTGGATAGTGGATAGTGGATAATTCAGTAGCAAAAGTTACTCTAGAAAAATGATGAGTGCACAATTTTATAAAATCTAAACATTTAGTGAAAAAAAAAACATTTAGTGGGGAACAAATAAAAGTGAATAAGTGTAGGGCTAAATCTGGTGAAGTAAAAAATATTTCTGTTAAATGTATAGCACAGTAATGAGGCAGCAACATATGGTAGATAAGACAACAAGAAAGGCTATTAATAATCTTTCAATGCGCAAAAGTATTATAACATGAAAGGCTCCTATACGGAGCTGCACAAAGTGCTTATGCACATCCCGTGCTTAGAATGATGCACTTGAAGCAACACGGATTCGCAGCGCACAGCGCTGGGCATAGAAAAGTTCAAAGCACAAAGGGAAAAGGATTTTGATGCGTAGTGTATTATATCTGTGCAATAGTTTATTGAGCCTTTTCTTTTAGCAGTTTTAAATTTCAGTTACTGTGTGCATGAAGAACAATTCATAGTGCTCTCTACTCCAGTTTAGTGATCTCTAACAGACACCCGGTAGAAAGTAACATGCTTTAGAAACAGTACTAAATTCCAGCAAGATAAAGTCCTTTTATGCAAAACCATTGATCTTTATCTACAGATCAAGTATAATAATAGGAACATTGTATCATCTTAGAGAGAGTTCCATTGTCTTGACTGTTGTAACCGAATGCAACGCGCAGTTTGAATGCTGAATGGAGGATGACAGACAGCTGCAGCGGAGAGAAGAGTTTACACATGCTTTAGAAACAGTACTAAATTCCAGCAAGATAAAGTCCTTTTATGCAAAACCATTGATCTTTATCTACAGATCAAGTATAATAATAGGAACATTGTATCATCTTAGAGAGAGTTCCATCGTCTTGACTGTTGTAACCGAATGCAACGCGCAGTTTGAATGCTGAATGGAGGATGACAGACAGTCGCAGCGGAGAGAAGAGTTTACGTGAACTTGAATTTAACGACTTAAATATTTATCTGTACCTCATATTAAACTATGGAGCGGTCTCAGAACACATGAAATATAGTGCACAAAAACAATATGGTGCTTTATAATGTTTTTGTGCCTTTCATGGGGCTTAAAAATAACACAGAATAGTATACGCAGAATATCGGATTTGGTATATATATATCGGTCTCGTCTGACCGAAACCGAATCCTGCAGAAAATGGCAGTATCAGAGCGATACCGATACTGAGTATCGGATCGGCACACCCCTATTCAGGACCAGCCCCTTTGGTCATGACTGGACAGACTGAGGGCTCAGAGACAGCCTCCTTGGCTGTGACAGGAAAACTGAGAGTTCGTAAACGGCTTTCTTAGCCATAACAGGACCCTGCAAACAAGCCTGCAGTGGCCCTTTACGGGCCCACTTAGGGCAAGCCTAAGGGCCCCCAGCGGGCTGCCAGCGCAGGGCCCCTGAGAATTTGCTCATTGGCAAAACTTTGGCCCCTTCGCACTGGCCCTGCACGGGCAGCCCTCACTTAGCCCCCAGGAAGCCCTCACTATGCCCACACAGGGCCCACACTATTAATCTACAACAATACATCTGTTTCACTATAAATACTTTCCAGTTACTATAACTTAAGTCTTTGGAAAAAACAGTTATTATACATCTGAAATTGATGCAGTTACCACATAACTAATGTCTGTATTGTCAAAAATGTACAGTTGTCAAAGGGATTTCAAATCAATGGATATTAATCTATAACAATACATCTGTTTCACTATAAATACTTTCCAGTTACTATAACTTAAGTCTTTGGAAAAAACAGTTATTATACATCTGAAATTGATGCAGTTACCACATAACTAATGTCTGTATTGTCAAAAATGTACAGTTGTCAAATGGATTTCAAATCAATGGATTTATTAAATACAAAATAGAAAACATTAAGTTCAGGTCAATACAGCTACATATAGCCAAAAATGTAAATACACAAAAGTACAAAAAAACAAAAACAAACAAAAAGAAAGAACGCAAACGAAGCAATGTAAGTTTGTAGGACTTTGTCATGTGAAAGTTGATGTGTGCTTATCTGTAGTACATCAATGTCCAAACAACGTCCATAGCTGAAGTTGGCTGATAGCAAATTAATAATCCAAACTCTTGTAGTGAAAACACGCCACACCTCTTAAGCACCAGGCTCTTCCTAACAAGGAACAGTCAAAAATAGTCCAGACTATGGTCCCACGTCGAAAATAACTTTAAATCCATATTCAAACTGGACCATGATGTGGTGAATGACCAATAAAGAGTCCTTCTAAAATGCATACAAATACACTGTCTGAAACTTTTAGCATCAATCTAAACATAGGCCATACATACATTAAACATCTCTGCAAAAAAAATCAACTCCTTACTTTAAACTGGGCTTGAAATGACCCATTTTCCAACCAGGACACAGCACAATGTGTTCAGCAGGTGAGCCATGTTGGCTACTGCTGCTTGCTATTGCTAACTCCCTCTACCACATGACTTTACTTAAGGAAACCTAAAACACCCTAGCACCCCTAGTGGTAAGGAAGAAAACTGCCCACAAAATTCTTATTAACAGGCTCATGTCTGTTACACCTCATATATGACTCGTGAGACCCACTTTCCTGCAGAGTTTAGCTCCAACTTTGATCAAACTCACCCACCTGTGGTTTTCTAATGATCCTGAAGACATGCTCAGGTGTGTTTGATTCAGGTTAGAACTAAACTCTGCAGGAAAGTGGATCTTGTGAGCCAGATTTGAGGATCCCTGGCCTATATGAAACAACAGGTTCTGAAAAGGTCTCTTTTGGTTTGAGCCATTCCAGTTCAATTGAGTGGCTAAAGAATGGCAAGTCAATGTTGTTTGTATTCTCCTAGATGCATTACAGGGCTGCCTACACAAAACCTGCATGGGCCCAAAGGATACAAAAGTTGCTCTGGGCCCGAACTGACTGGCCCACACTGGGCCATCATGGGATTAATCTGGGCAGTCCGATAGTGTGGCCTGCTCACAGAGAGCCCACGGTGAGCCCAAAGCTGTGGGCCTCGCCTGGGCAAGCCCGCACTGGGCCTGTTTAGCTTTTGGTGTGGGCTGGCCCTAGCCCACTGTGCCCGCAAAAAGCCAGCATGGGCCTCGCAGGAGCATGTTTGCAGGGGACAGGCAGAGAGTTCATAATTGGGCGGCAGTGCCCCGAGAGGAGATGAGGTGGATGCTGCCGACTCTGGAAGTTCTGTAGTGTGTGCTGCCACCTCTGGAGGTTCTGCAGCGAAAGTTGCCACCTTTAGAGGAGCAGTAGCAACATGAGCTTCAGATATAGTGTTCGCGGTCAGCACAGGGGCAACAGGGAACACAGAGAGTTCGGGGAAGAGAGCTGCTGCTGTCTCATGGACTGTAACAGGCTTGGGAAAGGGATCAAGGACTGGAGCGGGCTCAGGGACTAGAGTGGGCTCGTGAGCAGACTCAGGGACTGGAGCAGGCTCGGGGACTAGAGTGGGCGCCACCGCCTCGGGAGGTTCTGCAGCAGAAGCTGCCACCTTTGGGGAAGCTATGGCGGTGTGTGCAGCCCAAATGCATAGACTGGATGTAGCCATCACAGGCAGGACAGAGAGCACAGCATCTATTTCCGAGACATGCGGCCCTGTGACCAGTAAACTAGAGAGCGCCGCGACCGACAGGCTTGAGTGCGTCGTGAGAAAGCCTGGAGAGGAGCTGAAGACTGTGGCCTGACATCCCTGACGGCTGGAGGCTCTGGCGTGGCAGCCATGACATGATGAGGTTTAGGCGTGGTGGCCATCTTGGCCGGGGACTCTTGAGTGATGGCCCTGATGTGAGCAGGCTCTGGCTGGGCAGGCTTGACATGAGCAGGCTCTGGAACAGAGCTGGAACTGGTCTGGAACCCTGACGGGACGAAACTCTGGAATGGTGACCATTTTGTGTAAAGTCTCTGGGCTGGTGGCCATTTTGCAAAAACTCTCTGTGTTGGCAGCCATTTTATGACAAGTCTCTGGGATGGCAGCCATCTTGTGAACAGTCTCTGGTCTGCAGCCATTTTGTGAATAATTTTTGGACTGGCAGCCATCTTGGGAAGAGACGAGAGTGTTGAGGTCAGCAGAATACCAGCAGCTCGCACCGACATCAGCGGTGGGTCCGCCACACTTGAAGCCAGCCTCAAACATCTTTGGAAAGCCTGGAGAGGAGTTGAAGACTGTGGCCTGACATCCCTGACGGCTGGAGGCTCTGGCGTGGCCGCCATGACATGATGAGGTTCAGGCGTGGTGGCCATCTTGGCCGGGGACTCTTGAGTGATGGCCCTGATGTAAGCAGGCTCTGGCTGGGCAGGCTTGACATGAGCAGGCTCTGGAACAGAGCTGGAACTGGTCTGGAACCCTGACGGGACGAAACTCTGGAATGGTGACCATTTTGTGTAAAGTCTCTGGGCTGGTGGCCATTTTGCAAAAACTCTCTGTGTTGGCCGCCATTTTATGACAAGTCTCTGGGCTGGCAGCCATCTTGTGAACAGTCTCTGGGCTGCAGCCATTTTGTGAACAATTTCTGGACTGGCAGCCATCTTGGGAAGAGACTCTGGGCTGGGTGTGGTGTGATGGGATTCTGGAGTGGTGGACACTGTGGGAACATTGCGTTCCTCCTCCATGACTCCCACAGTAAATTGAGAACCACTTAATTGCAAGGCTAGATCAATGTAAAATTTAAAAGTCCAGTGAGGTTCGTGCAATGGCATGATCAAACTAGGTGGCTCAGACAGCCCTCCTCAAAAAAAGATCATGAGGCATACCTCGTCCATGTTGGTCAAATGAGCCAGCTCAACAAAGTCCATTACGCAGTCCTCAATGGGCCGATCTCCTTGACGGAGACACATAATTTGTGCTGCTGGATTCATATTTTTGCTGGTCGTTAAAATAAACCACTGGATCTGGGTGTGGCTCAGTATTCTGTAAAGTGAGGAGGCGTGACAACACAGTAGTGGATCCAAATGCGAGCTTCTATTCCAAAGAGTGGTCAAAACAGGCAGGGTCAAACAACAGCAAACAGGTACAATCCAGAACAGTAAGCCTCAGCTCGCCTAGGGTCTTTAGCAAGTTTACACTTGGTGCTTCGAAGGTTCGCCATTACTGCTTCTTTTGGGGCTTTAAGAAGTTTAGCATTGGGCCGTCTGAGCAAGGGAGTGGCGTATCACATAACTCCACTGACTTCTACCCTTGTGATATGTGTCTGGAAGAGAGTAAGGGCATACTGGTCTTGTTTGGAACGAGTGGCCTTCCTCTCGTTTATATATGGCAGAGTATCAATTTGCCAGAGGCGTTCAACATTCTTGAATAACTCAGTATTCGTTGTGGTTGTGGTTATGTGGAAACACCGTGGGGTGGAAAGGGTGGTTTGACTGAGCCGAATGGAACCTTGGAGGGTCCATCAAAGTCTTGTACAGATGGCAATCGGTCCATTTGCAGGTCCCATGCACACTGGCTGAACAGGAGTAAGCAGGTGAGGCATGTCAGACTCGATGAGCAATAGAGGTTGGGCTCGGTCTATCAAGGGTAATGGCAAGGACCTAATATGCTCATACTTGTGCTGAAGAGCAGACACAGGGTAAGAATCTTCGGAAAGTCTCAGGTTATCTGCGGTGAAAGCATGATGAATAAGGTATTTCCTGCATGGTCTGTGTAAAGGTCACACGTGAAGGGAAACAGTGGCTCCATGCAGATTAACTACATCCTGATGGACCGTGCGTAGAGTGAAGGCCCTGTCCCAAATGGAACACTTCATGTACACTTGCGGTCTTACAATGGCCGCCGCGTGCGCGTGTCCATTAAGTCCACGAGACCGTAGGGTGCCCCAATTGTCATTTTAGCATTCAGAAGTGTGCTCGCGAGCCCCCTTTGCGGCCGTTATGCGCCCTCGATCAGCACTTCTGCCGAGCCCGCACTGGGGCGAGCTCCGCAGCAGACTTCTACCCGACAGTCAAAGCGTCATTACGTCACGGAAGTGCGGACTCAGAGGAAGACCGCGAGGGGTTTAGGGTGCCATTTGGGACAGGGCCTGAGTGTTTCAGGTTCAGTAGGGACATTCAACTCATCTACAGCCTGTGACAGGAAAATGCCACACTCTGAACCATCATCCAGCACTGCGTATGTTTCCATGACTTTCTTTTGATTGTGCAGTAAGACCCTGACTATCTTCAGCATTACCCTTTGAAAGCGGTTGGGCCGGTCTAAGTAGACCTGAGGGATAGGAACATTGACCAACAGCACACTCTTTTGGATCTGTAAGGCTGCATGATAAAATTACATGAAATGTCTGGTTAGCTCTTTTACAGTTTTCCCTGTATATAGTACGGGAACTTACTGTTAACCTATTAACAGTTTTTTTTCCGTAGCGTTTTTAAAATTTTAAAATTACACTAATTTTTGTTTACGGTCTTTAACCAAGGTTTAGAATATGTTAACAAGGCAGGTAACGATAGTTGACCACTTTGGCAGATCTTTTAAAAACATCAATGATATAACTACATATACATGTTGATGTATTTTATAAATATTGTAAATAAATTCATTTATTGTCTATTAATTACCAAAAAAAATGCAGTTCTGTTTCTCTAACTCAATGTATTACTTACTGTTAACCTATTAACAGTTTTTTTCCGTAGCGTTTTTAAAATTTTAAAATTACACTCATTTTTGTTTACCTTTAACCAAGGTTTAGAATATGTTAACAAGGCAGGTAACGATAGTTGACCACATTGGCAGATCTTTTAAAAACATCAATGATATAACTACATATACATGTTGATGTATTTTATAAATATTGTAAATAAATTCATTTATTGTCTATTAATTACCAAAAAAAATGCAGTTCTGTTTCTCTAACTCAATGTATTCCAATTGCCCGCTATGAACTTCCTTGAAACTTCTTTGTGTGTGTTTTTGTGTGTGTGTGTATATGTGTGTGTATAATATATATACAGTGTATATATATATATATATATACACACACCTTGCTACGTGTACTGCGTTAGGCTAACCGAGACTTGTCATTTGCACTTATATTGTTGCTCTTTTGTTAGTTTTGACTGCTTTTATTGTCCTCATTTGTAAGTCGCTTTGGATAAAAGTGTTTGCTAAATGACTAAATGTAAATGTAGATGTCCCCAACTAAGCAAGCCAAAAGGCAAAAGTGGCTAGGAACCCAACTCCATCAAAACTCAGTCAGGAAACCAGTTCTCCTCTGGCCAGAGGCGGACAGTAACTAAGTACATTTACTTGAGTATTGTACTTAAGTACACTTTTTGAGTATCTGTACTTTACTTGAGTATTATTTTTTTCTGGGAACTTATGACTTCAACTTCACTACATTTGAAAGACAAATATTGTACTTTTCACTCCACTACATTTCTATCAAGGTCCTCGAAGTAGAAAGTTGTTACTATGTAGCAGCTTTGAAAGTCAGTGGGTGATTTTTTTCTTCTCTAAAACTCTGCTTTTGTGGGGGTGGGTAGGGGTGTCAATTTTTTTCCCCCATAGGTTTTTAACATTCTAAAGCTCTTTATTCCAAAGATACTACAAGCTAGTAGGTGTAATGTATTCTAAGTTGCATCAGAAGTATTGCAAGTATTGCGTACAACAATAAAACAGTGCATTGACATAAAAAAGGAAATTTACTTTTGGTACTTAAGTAATTTTAAAAGCAAGTACTCCTGTACTTTTACTTAAGTAAAAATCTGTCTTTACAACTTTTACTTGTAATTGAGTGATATTTGACCAGCAGTATCTGTACTTTCACTCAAGTAATGGAGTTGTGTACTTTGTCCGCCTCTGCAAACAAATAACTGTTTTCTATTTTAATATTCTCAAATGTTATTTATTCCTGAATTTTCAGCATCATTACTCCAGTCTTCAGTGTCACATGATCCTTCAGAAATCATTCTAATGCTGAT